TGGAAGCCCGTAGTCTCCGCGCCTTTAACTGCCTGCGCTGCCCATGACCGTTACCCCTCTGTGCCTCCAACAAGCGTCAACTCCTGTTCGACCCGCCTGCAGCCCTTCATGCGTCGGACCAATAATCGACGGCGGAGGGCGGGTAGACCCTCCTCGCGACGATGCATCCGGTCCGCTGCTTGCCTATTCCTGCATGCAAGAGCCCCGGTCCGCTGCTTGCCTATTCCTGCATGCAAGAGCCCCGGAAAAAGACACTGTTGTTGCATCAACTTCATATGCGTTTGACAGTCTATACTTATGCTTCCTTGTTGTGGTTCTTCCATGCTTGGTCGGCGTCGGGATGAACCGAGGGCGACTCGATGTGCTTCCGGGCCTCCACCTTTCGCTTATAATCCGACTTGAACCTGCGGTCTCTCTCGCCAACGTATTTCTCAAAGTCGAATTGGCCCGGCTGGGTGAAGCTTGTCATGAGCTGCGGTTCGCCCAAGGGCAGCTGGTGGCCTTTGTCGACCTGCCACAGGTGGAAGACCTTGCCGTACAGATGAACGACCTGTTCCATCTCCTTGTTCTCCGCCGTTTCCCAGACCGCGTCTGGCAGTGTCATCTGCGGCATGATGAGCATGCCCGACTTGACCTCGTACACATGGCTATGCCAGAGCTTCCGCTCCTCCGGGTCCAACGTCTCATACAGCTTGGGCGTGATCATGTACTCGATTCCGATGATGCGCGCGTTGGGCTCGGGGCTGTCGTAAAGGATGCACTGTCGCACATCTTCATTCAGATGGCCACAGTAATGGTTTGCTTCGACCACGCGGGAAGGGTCCGAGGCGTAAGCATGGAAAGCATTGAGGTGAGCGCACACGTTTCGAAGAGGCGCAAAGTCCTATGTTGGATTCAGCATGGCAGCATCGCAACATCACGCTCCAACCTTGATGGTAAGGCAAAAAGCATACCTGGATTGCCGATGCGCCAGCCTGGAGCACCTGGTTCTTGGTGCTAATCGGCTCTCCGGCATTCGATCCCGGCTTGGCTGCCATTGTTGGTCGTAAACGAGATTGCAGCGTTGCGTCGATTAAGGAAGGCCCTGCTGAAATGAAATCGGCTGAGGCTGGACTCGACGGAAGTTTGGTGATGGGAAATGAGGTTTGTCTGGGCCGTCGCATTTGTCCATGTGATATTCTCCAAACCCGACTGTGATGTTGAGAGAATGAACATGTCCTTGTGACGTCATGGGCGTCTTTCCGCGTTCCCCGCCGGCTGGTGTCATCATAATTGCGGCATCACTGCTCGCCTACCTGTAAACTGGATTGGTGACTCTCGCCCATCACCTTTGACGGGGGAGCTTGCAGGCGGAGCTGCATGGGGCGGAGCATTCCCTCCAGCCGGTCTCGGCGGCCATGTGTGGAGGGCGCAGCCACTCGGCCGGCGCCCGCTTGTCGGCGCGGCTGTTGCCGTTCCGTCCTGGCGTGCTCCGTTGTGCCGGGACCCGATCGGCCGGCGCCGAAGAGGGGCAGAGCATGTCACGACATGGAGCGGAGATGCCTGTACTGGTGGTGTTTTTTGATCGGCCGTCCTGATTCATGTCAACGTCAACCATCTCCACCGATCGTTTGAAACAAGGCTATCAAGGCTTGCGTAGAGTGAGTGGATGGGGGTTTTTATGAAATATTCTTCAATACCTTTCACCAAATTTACCGAGGAAATGAAAAGAAAGGTTTCAACGCGAACCATAGGAAATCATAATACAAAGAAGCATCAGAAAGGGCGGAATATTTGTTTCAAAGATCTTTCGCAGAAATACATCTCAGGTATTAGTTTTAGACTGCTTTGCTGCAGAAAATATCGATGCACTCATCCAAGGTTGAAATCGATCTTGTTCGTACTGTAACCGCCGAGACCAAGATTGGGATCGTATGTAGGTAGCACGCACGGGATCCTATGCACTGCTTATGCAGATAGGCCAAAAGCCTCGTCAGGGTTGGGCACCATGGTTGTTCTAGCTCTCCCACAAATAAGGTATGACTTGAGAGAATCCAACGTCCGCGAAGACATCTTGATAAAAGCAGGCAACAGTCATGCTTTTCTCGATTCTATGATCCACAGCCTGAAGACTGTCTTTCATTGCATCTTCAGCACGGCCTCTAATTGGTGGAAGTCTTCAAGTCTCCGTAATGATGGGTCAACTGGGAGTGATAGCGTCGGCCTGCAAAGACGGTTCGAGGAGAAGCCAGCATGCGATAGTTTGGTTGACACAAGCCCTGGGATACCAGGTATCTACCCACATGGCAGATGGATAGCTAAAACGGGCAATGTTGCTCACCACGACCTTCGCATAAACCTGCGCGCCCTGACATTAGATACTCAAGATCGTAGACCACAGCCATGTGGCAAGCATGTAACAGAGTGGATAAGACGATCCTTCAGTACCGACGGGATTTGCGTGCTAGTCCCTTTCCCTGCCTGAAGGATCCAGCGTTATCAAGACTTTATATACTGGACGTTGTCCAAAAGACTGGCTGTGTTCCTATGTTGAAAGTCTCGCAAGGTCTTACTACTCTGACTTGACAATGTTCCGGAGAAATACCTGCATATTGATTGGATGTATAATCTACTCCAAGGCATCGCCAAGAAGTACATTTAGGCCATGTTGGAGTCTTAAGCGACCACGGCATCAAGCCCCGAACCGTCGTTGTCAGTAGTCTCACCATATCGATACGATTACATTTCCGTCAAAGCCCCTCAAAAGACCAGAAAATGCCCTTACTTCCTATTTAAACCTAGTTGTGATCACCTGGGACGATCAAGTACGCTTGATGACAATGATGCGCTGAGCCAGCATCTTAGACAGCAAAGCTGGCTTCCGGTGGAATGGCTTTCCACCAACACAATCCACTCTAAATGCCTAAAAGAAATCCCATCAAATCCTCCTTTAGAAGTTTATGGCCAAGATCGGCGAGTACCGGCTTTTCTGGCCATTTGAGACGAACATGATTGCGGGGAAGAACACGCTAGACGTTTTCCGCGTCTAGGTGTTCTGCACTGCAGAGCGGGGGCGCTGCTGAACAAGATCTAGTTTGCGAAAACCAGCAACGGATCCGACAGTAAATGACCTTCTTCACAGCTTTTTGGCTTATGCGAGACGCAGTTGAAAGTTTGGTGGAGACCTCATTGGCGGGAATTTGTACCAAACCACAAGGGAGGAGATCCGGATAATGACGATAGGCCTTGGCGAAGAAGTTGGAAAACTCCGGTTGAGGGAACACAAGTCTGCGAAATCCAGACTCGTGGTTAGTATAATTAACATGCTAGTTGTCTCAAATGAGTCAAATGAGCTCAGCTCTAACCATAGATTGCACCAGGTCCTTCTCGCATTCCACGGATCCACGCTATCCCTCCAGACCTTGGCCCCAAAGACATACGTAAATTGCCACGTCATAGTGCTATATGCAATGACAAAGGTCGGCTCCTATCTTGTGATCTTTCTCTCGTGTCTCCCGGCTCTTGTATTCGGTGCAGCAATCAACGTTACGTGCGCCAAATGCGACGACGTAGCTCACGGCTTCGCGTCACTCAATGGTGGAACAACGGGTGGCAAGGGCGGCCGGATCGTCACGGCGAGGTCGCATGCGGAATTGGTGGAGTATGCTAACGCGACGGAGCCGTTGATCATTCGCGTCGAGGGCGAGCTGACTTCGGAGCCGAGAGGATACGAGGTCCCCATCAGGAGCAACAAGACGATCATCGGAGTTGGTGCGAGTGCAAAGATTCTTGGCGGCGGTTTTGGCATCACCAACCAGAGCAACATCATCCTTAGGAACTTGCAAGTCAGTGACACGTACATTCCCGAAGACTACAACGGAAAGTCGCAGGACTGGGATGGCATTCAGGTCGATAAGGGTACAAACTTGTGGATCGATCATGTTACTGTGAGTTCTCTCTTTACTTTGACATGCTATTTATATCTCGTCCGCACGGGTAGCGCTCATCAATCGATCGGACCCGATTCACGCCTGATCAGCCGCTGACAGTGAAAATAGTTCGCCCGAATGGCCGACGGACTGATGGACCTTCGCAAAGACACGGACTACGTCACGGTATCCAACTGTCTCTTCTCATCACACAACAAGGCGTTCGGAATCGGTTGGACGCCCAATGTCATCTCCAAGATGACCATCAATGATAATTTCTTCAATTCGACTAATCAGCGAAACCCGTCAGCAGACAATCTATTAATGTGTCACATGTACAACAACTACTTTTTAAATGTCACCTCGTACGGCAACTATGCTCGGGGCCATACGGCGTTGCTGGTCGAGACGAGCTACTTCGAAAGGGTCAACGACCCAGTCGTTGCGGGCCCGAATGCCACGATCCGCAGCAACTGGCTAAAGTTCAAGGACTGCACCGGCGAGACGCATTTGGACGTCAGCGGAAACTCGGTATTTAACGCAAGCGACTATTATTCCTATTCACTGAAGGACCCGTATGATCTGCCGACTACGATTCCCCCATTTGTTGGGCCGCGACCCGAGATTGGCATTTGAGAGGCACTGAACTTTGGGACCGGATTCTGCGAGTCGGTCTCAATATGTCCAGGGAAGCGGAGCAGGGCGGCAATTTAAAGCAGAAACCAAAAAGAGAAGACGCAATGCGACTGACTGACTGTCTTACCGCAAGTGGCTTTTTGGACTCTATTTGTAGCTATTCCCAGGAGACGACAGACATGGTGGCTCAAATTCACACCAGACATTGACTTCAACCAATACCATCTAACCGATAGTGTATGTACCCAGAGGACGTGGAGAATTGTATCACACACCACATAATGACGGCTGTTCTTCAGTTTATTGTAAAAAGTTGTGGCAGGCGAGCGGCGCGTGGGGAGAGTGAATCAATTAAACATGTGGAAATAGAATAAATACCACCATACTCTTTTCTGTATTCATGCAATGCCGGAAAAGTTTATCAAGAAACGTCACGGATTGACAAAAATGTAAATGCGTCGCCCACAGGATTCGAACCTGCGCGTCCGAAGACACTGGCTATCGGCTCTCCAGGATGTGATCCCAAACTAGCAGGCCAGCCCATTAACCACTCTGGCAAGGCGACGACTTGTGAAAGTGGAGGCTCATAAGAAACATATATAGTACTGCGTTAGCAACCCCGACAATACGAGAAGATCCACCTGCACATTCCCGCATCGGGAGGCATGCAGCGGTGGCACAGGACGGGTTATTGTTAGCGTACATTGACTGGCGGGTCGGCTGATCCTCATCTAACGCAGACGACATCAACTGCGACAAGCCCGAATGAGTGCTCACATAGCTGCAAGGTCTGTCTGTGCAAGTCAAATGCTCGCTGGTTGTGTTTGAAGTCGTTGAGAAGAAGCAATCGCAAGCCCGCACGCGGCAGACGCAGATGTTCCTCGCCCGGAGGAAGCGGGCACTGGCGGCATTTGGATCCCTGAAAGTGGCGCAATCCCGCCGGCTTCGCCAGCCATTACCACGCCGTTTGATTAATCAATTAAGCGTCATGCTTTGGCAGACAACCAGCTGATGCGCCGGTACCCGTTGGCGCTGAAACGTTACTGTGATGACCGTACGAATAATATCCTAGTGCGGTGCTTGTTGGTTTGGATCATGGCGAAAAGCAACCTCAAGCAGCGCCCCGATACGTCAACTTCCAATCCTCTTATGGGGGCTTCTTCGCTGGCTATACGAGCGCTTGCCGTGTTCAGTGTTGTTTCTATTGATAAAGATCGCCCGGATCGGCACAAAAGTTGGCCAAGGTTTGATTAGTGTCCAGCGGCTTCGCCCTGCGGTCCTCTTCCCCGTGTCTTCCATGATCCCGCAAATATTCCCCGGCACGCCTTTCCGGGTTGTTCCCGTTCTTGGGCAACTTGGAGCTCCAAACCCACCCTTTTTGCACATGACGCTGGGCCCAGAGAGCCCGCTAAATCGCCAGTGACTACTAAGAATAGATGGTCGAGCAAACTTTCAAGCATCTACTGTCCACGCCACGACTAGACTGATATTCCCGAAAGCTCCAAGGAAGAGCTTGAGATTGCGCCATCGGCCGCAGCGCCACCCCCGTTCAAGCCGGGTCCGCGCTGATGCTTGGCACGGCGGGACGTGGGCTTCAAACGATGTCATGCCCAGACGATTTACAGCTACGGAGATATTCACTGGGGACCCTGACGTCGGCTCGTGCGAACTCAACCATGAGGATGTACGACCGGGGTTGTCTGTCACGTTCAGATGATGTTTTATGAAAATACTTAAACACTTAAACGTCGGACAACCCCCCAGGTTCAATTGCTCTCGTACGCACCATCAACACACTGGCGACCGATCTTGCAGATATACCAGGCAACAACCACCGAACGCAAGCAATCCACTTCAAACACAACAACCAGAATATCGACAAGGATGCAGTTCCGATCTTCCCTCGCCGCCGCCGCCGGCTTGTTCGCCCTAGCCAACGCCCGCATCTACGGCATCGCCTTCCCCGAGACCGTCAAGGCCGGCGACGAGGTTGAGGCCATCATCGAAACCGAGAACTATATCCAGTCGGTTCAGGACATTGCCATCGCCTTTGGCATCGCGACCGAAGCTTCCGCTTACCCTGGAACACTCGGCCAGAATGTCCTGGGCTCGTTCTACCTGGGACCTGGTATGGATGCCTAGTCAGCCTGAATAGCTGCTCAGCCGTTACTGACAATCGTATGCAGAGAAATCCAACACTCTTGAGAATATCACCGAGTCCGTGACCATCCCCGCCGGTCTTGTCGCCGGCGAATACGTTGTCGCCGCTAGCCTGTACAGCTTGTATGGTGCCTCGTCTTCCGCCACCTTGTCCAACTACAATGTCACCGTCACTGTCGGCAACGTGACCAGCGAAACATACGTCGGCAGCCAGCGATAGATACGACTTGACGAATGTCGTTCAAGCATCCTAGGGCATATAAACGGCGTTGAACACTTGTCTATTCGGTTTAATGTTTTCAATTTGATTACGGAAGGATCATTGCGGCCGGTGGATCATTCCGAGGAGTTGCCATTGACGTTGTCGCTGTAACTTTTAACAAGTCGAGGGCTCGCAATGCGTCGTTTCGCCTAGACTAAATCATACATTTAGTACCTTCCTGTTGAAAGGATCACTTGGCCCTATGCTATGTGCAGGCTACGTCACACGGTTGTGGTTGGTTGCTTTTGCAGATTCAACTGTCGAATCCGTTCAGAAATTCACTATCGCCCTTGAGAAGGACATAGTGGAGGCGTTCATGTTTTTGTTTGGCTCACAGCGCATGCTGTACATGGTAATGTCAGAGCAATGACGATGTTTGTTAGATCGATTGCTGACACGCAGCAGTATGTACGATCTCAAAATACGTAAACGTTGCAGACCGCGCAGTCGAGTTACAAGCCATAGGTTCTGATTGACTATCTGGCAATTACTCATTTACAACAACGAAAAAGTGCTATGAAGCCCCATTGGCTTATTGGCAGTCGCGGCGCCTCTAGGTACTATCAAAGCCATGGACTGCTTGATTGTTCGTTGCCCACAGTGTAATTGCTAGCCCATATCGAAGAACTTGATGTAAGAATCTGGAATCTCTCTGGTCCGTCAAAAAATAGCCATACCGTCCACTAGCTAACTAATGAACCTGGTACCCAATCCATGGCCCATCGATGCAGCAGAGGCGGCTGGTGGAGGCTTTTCTCTCCCTTTTCTCTCCCTTTTCTCTTTCTTTTCAAATGACTTCCTAGAAGCTTAGAGGTCTTGGAAAAGGCAGTGATGGACAAATTCGGGGGCCAAGCAGGCGCGGTTGGTACTTGGCTGCTTCAATCCTCAATCATTTGTGCAGTTCATTCTAGCGATGTCGAATCAGTCGACAATGGCAATATCATGGAGTTCGAGATTTAGCATCTTCTCTCGTCTTGGTAACAAGGCAGACTATTGGAATTATGGTGCACCTGCTACCAGCTTGGTTCAGCCCTAAGATGAGCCCTTCTGCAGACCCATTTGCTTCCCTCAAATTTCACTTCGTCGAACTTTCATGTTTCTTCCACACAGGTGGAATTTATTCTCTCTTCTTCTTCCCCACCTAATAAGCTCAAGCTATGACTTTGTTATGGGCATTCACTGACAGCAGTATGAGTTGGTGTAGCATTTCGATGCGAAAGAATCAGTAATTAGGCACACGATATCTCTCCGCGAACTTGCGTAACTTTTGTAATCGCTCGTGCTATAATGCTCTAGGTTCACGAGATGTACCAAACAAGGTAGAGCTGAATGAAACTGCATATTTCTATTTGATCTATTCAGAAAGCACATCATTTTTCTATGACAATCCCATCGCCATCCGGTCGCGTTTCCATACCTACATAGAAGAATTTACTCACGTTGTATCGCATGAGTCAGACCTCGGAACAACCCACCAAAGCAGTAACCTTGGCTCGGGGCCTGTGCCTGCAGTTGTTAATGCTCGAGCTTACTGAAAAGAACAAAACTTCTGATTGCCGCATAAGAGAAGAACCCCAAGCCAGGAAAAGAGGTACTTGGCAACATGGCAACGATAACCAGGCACCTTTATTCATTATCTCTCACATATCATATTTTGATTTTGTACTAAGGAATATGCTTATTCTCGTGACACATGTTATGCACGCAGATATGCCACGATGGCTGCGTTGGAGTTTCTCATCGCTGTCACTCTATTGTCGGACCCCCTGTTCTGGTGCAGAATGGATGGAGAAGCTCCATTCTTAGGTCCCGGGCGATTGGTTGACTTTTCCCACTTTCCGTGCCTCAAACAAGCAGGCCCCAAGTTAAGATGAACCCATCCTCATGAGTCGGACCGAGATCTGACCCAAGAGCCCCAAGAGTTAAGATGAGCCACATCTCGGCCCAGAGTTGGTGTATCGGATTGTGACCCGTTGGCTCATTGTAATTGATCGCAAGGCAAACAACCAGAATCGTCATCCAGCCGCGAGAGCAAGCGTCGGGTAGGATCATTCGCTCGAATCTTGGCCAGTAAACTGGCCAATTTCCAGCGCTCGAGCCCCATCATCGTGCCGTCATGTCGCAGCAAGTGGTCTAGCTATCCATGTGTGCAGCACGTGCAGGGTTGCATCGCTCACTACGCGTCATTGAGTCTGGCCAGTAATCTCTCCAACGGACAAGGGAGACAGGCGCTCGGGCTGTTGCAAGAGTCTGAGACTGCAGCCTGCAGATACCGCGATTCACCGCGGAAGGTAACTTTATTGCTATAAAGCATCCTAAGTATTGATGCCGTGATTGTCGAATGAGAAGTCATTGCGGCCAAACGGGAATAACTCAAGCCCCATCACAAGCAGTTCAGGGGAGACAACATGCTACCTTGGGCTGGAAAGCCAGACATGTAACTGTGTATCCAGGCAGGCAGGCATGATCAACCCTTGGAAAGTGAACGTATGAAATCGGCGATCCAACGGCTGCATCAAGCAACCTTGAAGATACGTTAGGAAGTAACGTGGGTAACGCAAAATGTCACAAACGTCTGCCAACTGAGCATGATGCGTGGCCTGTAACGCTATCTATCACAAACACGATCTGGTCACATCCGCTAGTTGCTGGCAGAATTTCGTATGGTCATCGAATTCCAATGGCTCCCTCGGCTATCGATGATCCACGGATCCTTACCAACAAGCACAGAGTTTGATGTGGGCGTTTGGGGCCCATCTCCGATGAACCCCACAACCTCCGGACCCAAGGTAAGGGTTCACCAACGACGCCGTCTGTAACCTTTTGAGCCAAATGCCCTTTTGGCCCAGAAACCGGGCTAATAATTCGCGCAAAGGCATTATCGCACGCACATCCGCGCTCTAGCAGTGGGGTTCCCACATCCAGGGTGCTCCTCTGCACGACGATGGTACTGTGTATTCTTCTATTCTTCTGCACGCAGGGGAGGGCAACGTGATCACAGACGCAAACTCGGAGACGGATCCAAGTTCCGGAAACAAATGTCACCCGATTCGTAAGCTACACCTGGTTGGGCTCCATCCAAGTCGCGGTCCGAGCACAAGCTAGCGAGGGGTCTCGGACGATGTGGACGGATGACTTCTGGC